TTTATTTGGCTTACTGTTTGTCATCAATGGAAGTCAGGACAGGAACTCAAGCAGGGTAGAATTCTGGAGGCAGGAGCTGATGCAGAGGCTGTGGAGGAATGCTGATTACAAACTTCTTCAATTTGTCTTGCTCAGATTGCTTTCTTATGGAACCCAGGACAACCAGTTCAGGGGTGGCACCATCCAGAATGTGCTGGGCCCTCCCCCATTAATACATCAATAACTAATTAAGAAAATCCCTATAGCTGGATATCATGAATGTTATGATTTTTTAAAAAAATGCTGCAAGATCCCCAGTGGCAGTAGGCAGCAGAAATGCTGTAGGTTCCCAAATGGTGGTAGTGGGCCATGTGGAGGCAGGCAGAGGGCCCTGGGAGCAGCCAGTACCAGGCAGAGATGGCTGCCAGTCTCTGAGTAGTGGCTGGTCCCAGGCAGGGAGACACATGGTGGCAGGGCAGGAGACAGAGACAGACACATCCTACAGAATAGAATTGGATATTTATTACTTAGAGGAGAGAGAGGGGGCAGGGGGAAGAAGGAGAAGAGGACAGAGAGAGAGAAAGGGGGAGCAGAGGACAAGTGGGGAGAGAGGCAGAAGCAAAGCTGCCTCTCTGAGAGGAAGGCGGAAAAGAGAGCGAGCTCAGGCTGGAAGCTGAAGATCAGCCTGCCTCAGCTGATGGGGGAGGGGGTGGGCATAGCTTCTCCTAACAATGAAGTCAGTTTTTTTTTTTAATTTTTCAACTGAGACTCCCTCCTCTCAGGTGACTTTAGCTTGTGTCAAGGTGACATGAAACTATTCGGCACAGAGACAAAACAAATCAGTGCCTGCACAGCTTCAAGCCAGGTTGAGTATTAGCACTGCGAGGGGGAAGTAGACAGGGGTTCCCACCTCTAACCAAGAAGCTATTTGCAATTGATAGCCCCTGGCAAAGGAAAAATCCATTTTTTCCAATGAAGTTTCCCTGAGTATTTAACCACATCTCTGGCAGGGCCTTGATCAGGAATGGTTGGCTAACAGAAAGCAACTGCTTTCTAAGGTTCTGTTTTGATTTATGTTTTCTGGAAGAAAGAATCAGAGTGATCTTGAGTGTCAGTGGCCAGCCCTAAAGCTTTTCCAAGGCCTGAGTTTCCAGGGTGAACTAAAGTCCCCTTTTCAATGCTTAGTGGCACCATAACATTAAACTTACAAGGTTAGCTGAGTTTTTTTGTTTAATATTTAACAAAGTTTATGACAGTGAGCTAGTATTGTAGGAAAATATGAGATAGGCATTGCTATTGATTTTGTTCAAATTGCAACATATTCTGGCTGACTGCTAGTCTCAACCACCACCACCATCTTCTTCCCTGCCACATCTCCTCAGTCTGCAGCCTTTTTGGGCATTTTGCACTTCTCTCACACTATTGGTAACTCACCTGGGAAGTAAGACAATATAGTTCTAAGGGTCACAGAGCAATTGGGGGTGGTGGTGAATATTGTCTCTCCATGTTCAGATGAGTGAGCTGGAGTTCGTTGTTTTATAACTTGTTTGTCAAGATAAGCAAGAGGGGGAGTGTCCTAACTGATGCCAGAAGTAAGGGCATTACAGAAGCAGGATACAGTACATCTTGTTCTACAGGTACAGCAAGGGATTTTAAATCATTCTAATCCTCCACATCATTAAGACTTACTTTCACCACTTGAACAAAATGACAATCCTAAATAATAATTCGTGGAATTTCTTATGATTCAACGATATAAACAGTAAAGCATTTGAGATAGTTTCTTTCCATGGTGCAAATGCTCCCCCTGGAGTATTTTGCTCTGTTAACTTATTCCTGAAGCTGTGCTCCCTGGAAAGGACTACAGGAATGGCTTTTCATTCAAGAGAGGGGCTTCAACTGTGGATGAGGTGGCTCTGGTTTTAGATGCTGTTGTGTAAGGCAAAGGTAACCCCTACTCACCACATATGACAAACAAAGAACAGATGGCAGAAACATTCCTCCACAGTGCAACTTGGTAAAGCAGCAAGCTTATTAGGGTCACTTACAGAAATACAGGTGAGGGGTGATTACTGGATCAGGCCACACTCAAAGGCAGCTACATATCCAAAACCACACTCTGGGATAGGTGACAATTCACACAAACCACATCTCTGAGCACAATGTAAAATTTGCAGACATTGGACAGGTCAGTCTCTCCTCCAGGAAGAGTGGCTGGTCCCAAAGTTCTTCTCTCTTCAGCAAGTGTTTAATTTTTCTTTCTTGGAGAGGAGTCATGCAGACCTTCTTAGTTTCAGCATTAGAGTGTTTACTTCCTGAATCCTTGGAGCTTCCTTCCTTTCTCTAGGAGGGAATGTGTCAGTTCAAAGCAAATCATTGTTCATCAGATGCTCCAAACTTCTCTCCACCTACTATGGTACACTGCTAAAGCAGGGCTGTGGGAGAAACTGGGAGAGAAATGTTTCATTTCTTAGAGGTATAAATAGACCACTCACTTGGGATGAAGGGAGAAAATTCTCCATGCAGAATGGCTGAACTGGGGATCAGTCCTCAAAATCAATGTAAAGGGACTACATTTGGACAAAATTATTCACAATATCAATTGAATCTGGTGTTGCTGTCAGGGGGGTGGATGATGGATGGACAAAAAGTAGAACAGATAGATAAAATAATAGATGATCAACAAACATTATGTAGACATAGACAAAAAGTACATAGACAAAAAGTAGATAGACAGATCTTCAGGAATTAGAAACTAGGAATTATTAATTGCACAACTTCATGTAAGTCATGATTGTAAATTTAATTTCCCTGGAGATGGAGTAAAGATTCAAAAATCACATTCATATTTCCTGGACCAAATATCAATACTCCATCTCTTGAAAGAAAAGAAACCTTGATGTGGAGATGGGCCAAGGAATTTAGTTCCTTCTCTTGCTCTATTTTTGTTTTTGTTTTGCTTTAGACGCATATTCAGTGCTGGCTAGATTTTATTGTAAATTTAGTACAGTAATCCCAGAGTCATCTAGGAAGAGGATGTGAAGGACCAAGAGACCCCCAGGCCAGACAGACTGGCCCGTCTTGCATCCTCTTTCCTAAGAACAGTATGTTTCAGAAGAGCATAGCTAAAATAGAATAGCATGTGGTACAAATTCTTTGGAATGTCTTAACCGCATGGCATAACCGCGAGACGCTCTATCATAATGAAAATTGCTACTTCCTCTTTGACCTGGGACACAGTAACCCCCATTCCCCTCTACCCTTACCCCTCCCTACCAAAACTGCCTTATAAAAATAAAAATCTTGCCTGCAATAAACGGAACCTTGACGCATCTCAGACTGACTCTGTCTTTCTTTACGCGCTTGGTTCTCTTTCCCTCTCCACCCCATTATTCCTAGGTGATGCCTCCTCGAGACCCATAAATTACCTGGCCTGCAGGACGGGTCAAGTGGCACCCAACGTGGGGCTCAAGGTACGGTGGTCACCGGACAGCACCAATTAAGAGGAGAAAAAGCGATCCGGACCGTACATCGGTAGAGACGTCTTGCATCGCTCGTGCTGCGTCTTGAGGTGAGTTCTGCTGTTCAAATTAATAATGGGGAAGTCGGCTTCTAAAGAGGCCCTCTTTATAAAGGAGGTAAAGAGCACATTGCGGGAGAGGGGAATAAGCGTTAAAAAAAAAAAAAAGGACCTCTTAAAATTTTTCTGTTATACGGAGGAAAAATGTCCTTGGATGGTTCTACAAGGCCCGGACATCCACCCCCTAACATGGAATAAAGTAGGAAAGTGTATCAATGAATTACTGAGAAATGGAAAAGAGGTCCCTGAATCATTTTTTAGTTTTTATGGTATAATTAGAGATATTCTTAAAGACTCTGAAAGAGAAGGAAAGATATCACATCTCCTGGCACTTTTTGAAGACTTCATTTCCGCTGACCAGGAATTTAAGGGGGCCGCCCAACCTCCTGAACAAGGTCCCAAAGAGACTAAACCTGTGCCTCCGGCTTTTTCATCTAAGAGAGAGGGGATAAATTCTTCTGCTCCGTTTCCTTTGGATGAAAAGATTGGAGACAGAAATCTCCATCAGCCTTTGACTAAGAAGTCTTCTACGCCCGCCATTTTTCCTCCTCCCTCCCTTTACCCTGTTATCCATAGAGTAGATAGTATTGATTGGCTAGACTCTATTGAGAAGATGGATTTGAAAGAGGAGGCGACTGCCTATGAGAGAGAGAGATATGATCCGCCTTTCGTAGCTCCCATAAAAGCCCGAGAAAAAGGAAATAGCCTTCAGAGATTAAAATGGTCTCAGCCCCCTTCTTATGCACCCCCCCCAGGATTCTCTAGCTCAGCCATCTGCCCCTCCCTTTCCTGCTAACTTGCCTCCTCAAACCCCTGGCATTGACAACCTGTTGGCCACTAAAAGGTCTCTTACCAGCCAGATAACCCAGTTGAGAGGCGTTATTTCCTTGCAGAAAGAACTCAAAGACCTGACTACTCAAATTCAGACCTTACAGGTCAACTTGTTGACACCCTTATCACTACCCCCTACACCGCTGAGGGCCCCTAATGAGTCCCCCCAGACTAGGCCTACCAAAGCTCGTCATACCAGGGCTCGTTCTGCCCCTAATAAGTCTCATCTCACCTTTCCAGTGATGACTAGATCATCTGGTACCCAGGCAGAATCCTCTGCCACTGATAATGAGGATGGGGAGGATGAGGATATGCCCCCCCCCTTGAGGGAGAAGAGGATGAGATTCAGGCAGAAGAGACACAAGATAACGTGGAGGCTAGCAACCCTACTACAAGTGGTACTAGTGGTTCTCACATCATCAAAGCCCTCAAAATAAAACATTTAAAAAAGCTGCATTCTGCGGTTAAGAATTATGGCCCAGCAGCCCCATTTACGCTGTCTATCCTTGAAGGGCTAGGACAGGGAGGAAACCTCGTCCCCAGTGAATGGACAAAAGTTGCTCAATCAGTGCTCTCTCGTGGCCAATATCTAACCTGGAGAGCCGAACTGATGGAAAAACTGGAAACCCAGGCAGATGTTAACAAACAAAATGTGGCAACAGCCTCATGGACCCTGGATAAACTGACAGGACGAGGGAAATATGCTACTGAGAGCAAGCAGCAGGCGCTGCCTGTTGGGCTCCTTAATCAGCTTGCCCAAGCCGCACTGGCCACCTGGCGCGCCATCCCCCCTCCTAACTCAGTGGGAACTTCCCTTTCTAAGATCATACAGGGCACAAATGAGCCTTATGCTCAATTTGTGGGTAGGCTCTTGGAAGCCGCAGAAAGGATCCTAGGAGAAAATAGCACTGATGATGTGATTGTGAAACAGCTTGCATTTGAAAATGCTAACTCTGCCTGCAAGGCTGCCTTAAGAGGAAAAATGAAAACTATTGACCTTAATGGCATGATCAGGCTTTGCAATGATGTTGATTCCTTTGAGCATAAACTCTCAAAGTCCATAAACCTAGCCGTGGGTGCGGCGCTTCACCCCTTGGCTGCCAGACAAAATATTTCCAAATCTTGTTTTAAATGTGGAAAGCCTGGACACTTTGCCAGAAATTGCACTGAAGGGACCAATAATATAGACCCTCCACAAGCGTATGGCATGCCTAAACCGCCCATGCCTGGGCTATGCCCACGCTGTAAGCGAGGGCGTCATTGGGTCAAGGAATGTCGCTCCAAGTATGATGCCACTGGACAGCCCCTTCCTGCAGTTCAGGGAAACGGGCAAGGGGCCCCATTACAGGGCCCCTACCCTCCTCCTCAACAGATCCCTCAGGCGCAGACTGGGCCTTACAACCCGTTCATCAATCCTCGTCCAGCCCAAGCCTTTGCAGAGCAACAGCAGGGAGCGTAGGATTGGACCTCTGTTCCTCCTCCACCCGGATTGTAACACCAGAGGAAGGGACAGTCATTTTGGATACCGGGATCCATGGTCCTCCACCCCCAGGTATGTTCTTTTTAATCATAGGACGAGCCTCAAGTTCCCTACGAGGACTTTCAGTAATGCCTACTCTAGTAGATAATGACTATCTAGGTGAGATTAAAATCCTAGTGTCAGCCCCTGATGGACCCCTTATGATATCACAAGGGCAGCGTATAGCTCAGGCCCTTCCCCTTCCCCTCTGTGGGAATTTTTCTTCAGTTGCACAAACTCGAGGCCAATCTCAACCAGGATCCTCGGATGTGTATTGGGTTCAAAAATTAACAGAAACTAGACCCACTTTACAACTATGGCTTGATGAGAAACCTTTCCTTGGTCTGCTGGATACGGGGGCAGACGCCACCGTCCTGTCAAAAGCCCACTGGTCGCAGAGTTGGCCCCTACAGGCCACAACCACTCACTTGCAGGGTATAGGACAAAGTCAAAACACACTTCAGAGTTCAAAAGTCTTGCAATGGAGAGTTAAAGAGGGCAACACAGGAATTGTCACGCCCTTCATTGTGGATGGCTTGCCCATTAGTCTTTGGGGAAGAGACATACTCACCCAGATGGGGGTCATCATGATGAGCCCCAATGAGGCGGTCACCAAAATGATGCTAAAAACAGGATTTTTACCAGGAAAGGTCTGGGAAAGGAGGAACAAGGAATAAAGCAACCCATTATTCCTAAACAAAAGACAGATAGGCGGGGCCTTAGAGAAGACCAGGAATCTTTTGCCCCCATTCATTCTTTTTCCTGAGGGCCACCGCTCCTCCTGCACTCCATGCTGAAAAAATAATTTGGAAATCGAATGACCCAGTATGGATAGATCAGTGGCCCCTATCTCAAGAAAAGGTTCAAGCAGCCCTACTGTTGGTGCAGGAACAGCTAGATCAAGGACATCTTGAACCATCCACATCCCCATGGAATACACCCATATTTGTGATTAAAAAGAAATCAGGAAAATGGAGACTCCTCCAGGACCTTAGAGAGGTCAATAAAACCATGGTACCTATGGGAGCCCTGCAGCCAGGAATGCCCACGCCTGTGGCCATTCCTCGGGGCTATGCTAAGGTCACTATTGATATCAAAGATTGCTTTTGTTCTATTCCCCTTCATCACGATGATTGCAAAAGATTTGCCTTTTCCATTCCTATTGTTAATCAGATAGGGCCAAATCCTAGATACCAATGGAGAGTCCTGCCACAGGGTATGGCCAATTCACCTACCCTTTGCCAGAAATATGTTGCCCAAACCATTGATCCCTTTAGACTAATGTATCCTGAAACGTATATAATTCATTACATGGATGACGTCTTAATAGCCACTAAGACCCCTAAAGAGTCTCACACCCTAGCAGTGATGATGGTGCAAGCATTACAGAAGCGAGGGTTTCATATTGCCCCAGAAAAGATTCAGACACAATTTCCCTTTTTGTTCCTGGGTTTTGAGCTCCACACTGACCTTTTATATACCCAAAAGTTTCAGGTTAGAAAGGATTCCTTAAAAACATTAAATGATTTTCAAAAATTACTGGGTGATATCCAATGGCTGCGACCATATTTAAGACTTACAAAAGGCGACATTCGCCCTCTTGAGGATATTCTCGCAGGTGATTCGGACCCATTATCCCCTAGAATGCTTACCCCTGAAGCACTTTTAGCACTTAAAAAGGTGGAAAATGCCATTATGAACCAACATATTGGGTACTATTGTCCAGATCAGCCCTTGCAGTTAATTATCTTTCCCACTGAATTTTCCCCCGACTGGCTTGCTCTGGCAAACCTCAGTCCCACTTCTCTGGGTTCATCTTCCCGTTGCGAAACGGAAAGTGATCCCTATTTATCCTCTTTTGGTCTGCCAATTGATAATGCAAGGTTTAAAAGCTGCAACTAAATATTTTGGCAAGGAACCTGATAAAGTTATACAACCTTATGATAAGACCAATTTAGAATGGCTAGCCCTCCATCACTTTGAATGGGCCATTCTTACCTGTTCATATAGAGGGGATTTTGACACTCAGTTGCCTAGCGATAAGTTGATTCAATTTTTCTCCTATACTCCTTTCATTTTTCTTAATAATACAAAGTTGGAGCCCGTTCCAGATGCATTGACAGTTTTTATTGATGGATCCAAAAATAGAAAGGCTGCATATGTCCTTGATGGTACAACAATCACCATTGACACCCCTTTCTCTTCGGCGCAATTAGTAGAATTGTATACAGCCCTAACGGTGTTGCAAAGGTTTGAGCACTGCCCTGTCAATATTTATTCTGATAGCCGCTTTGTGGTTGGAGCCTTGCAAAAGCTGGAGATGGTCCCTACTATTCAACCCCAGACACCCACCTTTGATATGTTTTGCAAGATACAAAAATTAATTAGACAAAGAGACCACCCCTTTTTCATTGGTCACATCCGCGCGCATACTGACCTCCCAGGCCCCTTGGCCTTAGGGAATGAATTGGCAGATGAAGCCACCAGAACAACCCAAGTGTTTATCTCAGAATCACAGGGAATAGTTGCCGCACAAGAGGCACATCGGCTCCATCATTTTAACGCCCAAACATTGCGCCAGAAGTTCCTTATTACTAGGTAACAAGCCAGAGAAATTGTCAAATCATGCAAAACCTGTCTGCCCTACTTACCAGACCCACACCTGGGGGTAAACCCAAGAGGCCTTGTGCCCGGACAACTCTGGCAGATGGACGTGACACATCTCCCTACTTTTGAGAAGCTCAAATATGTTCATGTCACCATAGATACCTTCAGTGGATTCATTGTTGCCTCCGCACATACTGGAGAGGCCACCAAAGATGTTATTGGCCACATGATGCAAGCCCTGGCCACTTTGGGACAACCGGCATCCGTTAAAACAGATAACAGCCCCGGATACACCAGCTCAAAATTCAAACAGTTCTGTGCAGCACTGGGGATTAAGCATGTTACAGGGATCCCTTATAATCCTCAGGGACAAGGTATTGTTGAAAGAGCCCATCAAACCTTAAAGAACACCATCAACAAGCTAAGAGCACAGGAAACTTTGTTTCCTCACAAGGGCAATCAAAAATTGGTGCTTGCACAAGCTCTCTTTGTCCTAAACTTCTTGACGCTCGATGAGCAAGGAAAATCGGCAGCAGATAGACATTGGCATCCCAAGACTCATCAGGGATATGCCAAAGTCCTATGGAAAGACACTATAACAGGGCTGTGGAGTGGACCTGACCCAGTTCTGATTTGGGGTAAAGGCTCTGCTGCCATATATGACTCCAAGGAGAAAGGAGCAAGATGGCTCCTGGTCAGACTGGTCAAGCCCTTTTCTGACACCAAACCAGCCCAGGGACATGCCCCCTGAGGAAATATCTCTCTGTTTAATTTACAGAAACGTCCACCTTCAGACCTGCTGCAGAAACCCTGGACAAGATGGATACTCAGAAATGCATGAAATACTCTTCGGAGGCATAGATCCGCTATACGGAGCTCTTGTTATATCCTTGATGTTCTTGATTGTTCTTTTCTGTTGCTTCTGTCTTCGCTGCCATAAGCCAGGTCAGGAATGCACATGGTAAGTTTATGCTTGGTAAGTTTTAAATTCCTTAGGATGCTGCTCTTAATGAAACCCCTATTGTTAAGGATCTTTACCTCGCTGCCCTGTTTGATAATGCTGATGACGATGATGCCGAGGAAAGATGTCCTGGCAGGCTTCCAACCCGTTAACCCTGGTGCCATCCTCAAGGAGCTGTATGGAGCCCCCTGTGATTGTAGGGGAGGAACACCTTGTCTCAACCACATACACATCTTAAATCTGTGGACTGTGGGATTAAGATAGCATTTTTGGAAGTTCTTAAGAACTCGGGAGGTTCTACACAGCACTGGATATGTGTTGATAAACCCAAATATCTTTCCCCTGGATCTCCCTGCCCAAAGGACTGTGTATACACAGATCAAATGAACATACGGTGCTATTCATCATATTCAGAGCGCACCAATGGAGGGAAAGGCTATTTTATTGCCAAAGTCAACCAACAATTTAAAGGAAGTGCTGGAGGTGATTGGTCAGTTACACCTCAAATCTGAGGATCCACTAATAAATATTCGCAAGCTTCCTGCACAGTCCCCATTGGCAAACTCGCCTGCTGGAATAAGATTGCTCCTGTCCATGTCTCTGATGGAGGATGCCCCATGGATGCAGTTCGTGAGGTCCAGGTACATGAGGAAGTGCAAAAGTGGATTGACTCCCTAATTCCCCGGATCCACTACCATCCATTATTACTTCCTAAACCTAAAGGAACTGACATTGACACCCAAACATTTGCCATAATTGAAGCCACACATTTTGCCCTAAATATTTCTAATCCTAGGTTGGCTCAGGATTGCTGGCTCTGCCTCGCTTTTGGAAATTCCTGGCCTTTGGCTCTGCCTTCATCCTTTAATGGTACTTTTGAGTCCGTTCCTGAGAAATGTTCTCTCATTTCTCCCTTTAAAGTTCAACCTGTTGCATTTAATATGACAATATGTGTTTATAAACATTATCAAAATAATACCTTTGATATAGATGTAGGAACCATAACCTTTGCCTCTTGTGATTCAATAACTAATGTCTCCTCTATGTTATGTTCTCCTGCGGGTCATGTGTTTATATGTGGAGGAAACATGGCCTATACCACCCTCCCCACTAATTGGACAGGACTTTGCTCCTTAGCGACCTTGCTCCCTGATGTCGAATTGATACCAGGGGATGAACCAGTGCCTATCCCCACCTTTGATTACATTAGTCCCAGACACAAAAGAGTGGTACAATTCATTCCCCTTCTTGTGGGAATGGGTGTTGCTGGTGCCCTGGGGACCGGAACTGCTGGATTAGCTACCGCTATTTCCTCGTATTCCAAACTTTCACAACAATTGGCAGACGATATTACTATGATATATATAATATATATTATATATATATACACATATATCTGTACAAGATCTTCAAGATCAAATAGGCTCCCTAGCTGAGGTCGTGTTACAAAACCGCAGAGGTCTAGACTTGTTAACCACAGATAAGGGTGAAATATGCTTAGATTTACAGGAAAGATGTTGCTTTTATGCCAATAAGTCAGGAGTTGTGCGGGATAGAATTAAAAAACATCAAGAGGAACTAATAAAACGCCGGCGCGAGTTGCTCAACCAGCCCATATGGACTGCTTGGGGAGGAATTCTGCCATACCTTTTGCCCCTTCTTGGTCCTCTTGTGGGACTTCTTTTGCTTATTTCCTTTGGGCCTTGGGCTTTTAATAGTCTAACCCGTTTTATTACATCTCAAGTAGATTCCGCTTTAAAGCCTGATGAAATACATTATCACCGCCTGATGACTGAAGAAGTGCTTGATGATCAGACCTGCATCCCACAGCTCGCCAAGGAGGCGAGGGACATTTCTGGCGGTCGATCAGCGCCGTTGAACGCCCCCGCTGGCCGTCGGCCAGGGAGTCCCCTTCCTTCACCCAGGGACTATGCCCAAGTCCATCTGCTGATTGGGGGACCTGGGGACATCTCTGGGAGGAGATCAGCGTCGGTGGAATCGAGTTCTGCTGGTCCCCGAACGGAGAGCTCTCCTTCCTCTCCTCTACCCTTTTCCCATTCCACTCTTAGATTTACCCCTAGCCCAGGTCCAGGATGGAAATTTTGGAAAAATTTTTAAATTCGGCCTTGTTAGATCTATCCCCATAGTGCCTTAGATATATGTACCCCGTGAGAAGAAGGCTGGAAAGTCAAAGACAGAAGAATTGTTTAAGCCTAGGCCCACCTAAGACAGGGCAATCCCAGTGGGGAGGATGACCCAAGGACGGGTAAAGGTCTAGCATCGCTCTTCTAACAGGCTCAGACTCTCTCATGTGTGGACCTTGATGTCAGCCGCAGAGCTACAGAACCCCTAACACCGAGGCCTTGCACGCTGAGGGCTTGCTCCCATTGCACCAGCTTAGGCTCGGATCAATTTTTGGGTCTGCTCTGGCTCTAAAATCGTCGGTCCTGGACTGTAAGCTTCAGCACCTAGATCCTAAATTCAGATTGGCTCATTTATATAAAAGAGAGGGGGAGATGTGAGGGACCAGGAGACCCCCAGGCCAGACAGACTGGCCCGTCTTGCATCCTCTTTCCTAAGAACAGTATGTTTCAGAAGAGCATAGCTAAAATAGAATAGCATGTGGTACAAATTCTTTGGAATGTCTTAACCGCATGGCATAACCGCGAGACGCTCTATCATAATGAAAATTGCTACTTCCTCTTTGACCTGGGACACAGTAACCCCCATTCCCCTCTACCCTTACCCCTCCCTACCAAAACTGCCTTATAAAAATAAAAATCTTGCCTGCAATAAACGGAACCTTGACGCATCTCAGACTGACTCTGTCTTTCTTTACGCGCTTGGTTCTCTTTCCCTCTCCACCCCATTATTCCTAGGTGATGCCTCCTCGAGACCCATAAATTACCTGGCCTGCAGGACGGGTCAAGAGGAGACCCTAAAAAGACCCAACTAGCTCAGACTAGCCTGTGGGTGTGTCTGTGGGGGCATAGTCTTGATTAACAAATGATGCAAAAAAAGCCCAGCCCACTGTGGGTGCTGCCATCCTTAATCAGGTGGGTCTTTTTTTTTTTCAGGTGGGTCTTTTGAACATGAGGAACATGAGGAAGGAAGCTAAGCATGAGCCTGAGCAAGTCAAAGATGGAGCCAGTAAGCAGCTTTCCTCCATGGCTCCCGCCTCCAGGTTCTCACCCTGAATTCACTCAGAAATAGGCTGTGAGACGGAAAGGAAGTGAGATAATTCTTCCTTTGATTGGACTTTGCCTCTGGGTTCCTCCAGGCAGTGACACGCAGGCGCAGGCCTGGAAGGATTCCTCTCTGATGACTGAAGCATCCTCACTGAGGACAGAGGCTGCCGCAGGTCCTCTCAGTCCTGTCTCTGGCTATTATCCCTGCAGCCGCATCACACTCTGTGTGGCTGGTGACTCTTTTCTCTTTTTTGATTGGTTTATATTTCTTTATTGAAGAAAAATAAATCAATTACTAGGAGAGCTATTAGTTGATCACTCATCCATTGACAACTCACATCATTTTATTCAGTGCTAAATTAAACAATTTAAATGAAAATTCCAAAATGTTTTTGGAATACAAAGGATGTTTGGCTTCTAATTTCCAATCTCTGAAGAATAAGAAAAGGCCATTCCTAATTGACATGCATAAAATACATCACATTTTCTGATCTCCTGATGCTATTATTCGGTGTCAATTCTCCATCACATCACTTTATGAGCATAAAGTATATTCTGTAACCTCAAATCTATGACAGTGGAAGGCTTAAACAAGAATGGGTGCTGTTTGACTAATGCTGCTGCCTTTGATGTGACAACTGAGCATCCTTCCCCCTTCCCATAAGAGCAGGAGGATGGGTTTAGTCTCATAACCAGTCTCTCAGGAGTCTTGACAGTTATCACTGCTGATGTCCTCAGGTGTTGTCCCAGTTATCTGTGCTGGTAGGGAAGCCTTGTTGGTCCCTGCAGGCTGACCTGACACTACTCTCAATGGCTCTGCTGTCCAGTCCAATAGCATGGTATTTATGTAGGTGGGTGTGTGAATCAACTAGGGATTCTTTTCTTTCCTGCGGTGTTCAGTGTGTCAGAGGACTTGATGTTTGTAGCCCGGAGTGCAGGTAACAGCTCTTTTATAATTTCTTGGAGTGTCACTGCCCTCTGCTGACCATAGCATGCATTACAGTCAGTGTGCTGGGCAGGTTCTTGATGAGGTGGCTAATGAATGTTTCAGCTGCAGTTGTGTGGGAATGCGCCTAGATGTGCACAAGAGAAGTGTCTGCCTTTACGCTTTCAAGACCTCCTAAGTATCAATCACCTGCGGAAGACTGCAGCCTGTCAAGTACAGTACTAGAGCTTTATTATAGTGGCTCTAGAGCAGAGACAAACCTGCCTGCTGAGTTTGGGCTCAGGGCAGTTACACTCTACAATTATTCTCCATTTAGGAGATCTGGTCAGAACAACCAATAGGGGGACACCATTCTCTGAGAACTTTATTTCCTCAGCCTCCTGCCACATGTACTTTTAAGCTCCTAAGTATCTAACCCTCCCACTTTACAGTCTCTTAGGTGGTCTCTTGCCCTAGGGTTGTGGCACATTAAGTCCAGCCTCCCTATCTTCTGCCTCCCTGAGCAGTTCAGCTTCCAATGGAAGATTCTCTATAAAGATGTCAACTGGTTTCGACTTTCTCAGTCATCCAGAGTGACAGCAGGATTCCTCACTGACCAGTGAGTGAAACTCTCAGATTATATCTGGATGCTAACAGGCTAGACAGAATCTCTAAGAAGAATCTGGAAATAAATGGAGTGTTCGTTCCCAAAGAGACTGTAGTTATGGTACCAATCTATCCTCTTCATGGGTCCCTGAGTACTGGCCAGAGCCTGAGGAGTTTCGCTCTGAAAGGTACAGAGACCTCAAAGAGGGGTTCCCACTAGGAACCAGGCAAATTCAACGTATTGTCATGCTGCCTATTGGAAATGGCATATATGTGACTTTGTATCTCTTTGTATCTTTATGTCTTTGGATAATTAAATCTTTTTAAAATATGAAATGATAATTATTAAAGCTAATGGTAAATTTAAACACAGAATACATGAAAAAAGAATAAGAATCCTACATATGTAAATTTAGATATCACTTACATAAACCACTGCCTAGTCACCAAATAAAACATATCTATCTATCTATCTATCTATCTATCTATCTATCTATCTATCTATCTGTCTGTCTATCAATCTATCTCTATCTATCTATCTTCTATCTATCTATCTTCTATCTATCTGTCTATCAATCTATCTATCTCTATCTTCTATCTATCTTCTATCTATCTATCTATCTATCTATCTATCTATCCATCTATCTATCATCTGTCTATCAATCTATCTATCTCTATCTATCTTCTATCTATCTATCTTCTATCTATCTATCTATCTATCTATCTATCATCTGTCTATCAATCTATCTATCTCTATCTATCTTCTATCTATCTATCTATCTATCTATCTATCTATCTATCTATCTATGACAAGCTGTAGTGCATAAGTTAGTGAAGCAGGCTTTCCTTAGGCTCTCAACCAGTTCCCAAATCGTGACACAGACTATTATTAGTTGAGAATATTCAGCCTATGCTTGTCCTACTAGCTCTAATAACTTAATTTAATCTGTTTCTCTTCATTTATGTTTTGCTTTAGGGCTTTTTACCTTTCTTTCATTCTGTATATTCTACTTTTCCTGCTTCTTACATGACTAGCTGGCTGATGGCTGTCTGCCTGGCTAACTCCTGTTATCTCCCTCTCCTCTCTTCCCTCTTCTTTTTTCCCCTTCCCTAGCCCACATTCCTCCTCTTACTTATTCTCTCTGCAGGTCATCACTGCCTATCCCTCTACTGCCTAGCTATTGGCCATTCAGCTTTTTATTAGACTCATCAGGTGCTTTAGAAAACATACTTTAATGAAAACAGATAGGTACTTTCTAGACACACACAGATAACAGTTGGTTTGTTTAAAGCTGAACATATCTTTGAAGTGTAGATGTCTTCATGAGTCTGTGGGCTACCCATGTTAGCTGTTTCCCAGCCTCACTTAGTCACACTGAATGAACTGTTGCCCCTGAACTTAATATGGATAGCTGAAAGGGAGGCAGTACCCACATAATGATGTTTTTCCAAGGCAACCCTGGGTTAGTGTGTGCCCCTTACCTTAATCAGAGTTGAAGATTTCCTTTTTTATTACTTTGTAAGTACCCTTCTGTTCCTTATTATTATTAATGTTTTTTTCTTTTGTTTGTGTATGTGTACATGTGTGTGTTCTCAGAGGCCTGAAAGAGGCACCTTTGGATCTAGAGTTCCAGTGAGCAGCCAGACGTGGGTGCTCAGATGCCAACTCCAGCCTCAGTGACAGCAGTAAACACTCTTAATGCTGACTTGTCTGTCTAGTCCCTCCTCTCCATGTTTTTACATGTCTTCCCATCTGCCAAGAGAGCGCTATAAAATCATGATATTATAAATGCTTCGATGAGAGACCACTGGCCTTTTCCAAACAAAGAAGCCTTAACATGAAAAACTGCAGTCACAACTTCCAGTTCATTTTATTATTTTCCATTTTCATGTATGTAAGTGAATGGTGTACATGTATGTGCATGCATGCTTTTGCAGGTGTATGCACACACATACTGTGGCTGGGCATTCATGCATGTGCTTGCAGCAGCCCAGGTTAATATTGGAGGTCGTCCTTGATTGCTCTTCCAGCTTATTCACTGAAGTGGAGTCTCTCCATCAAGCTCGAGCTTGTCTGCATGGCTATTCATGCTCGTGGAAGACTGGGCTCTGCCTTGAGGTTGGAATTACAGGCAGGCTTTGAGGCACACAAGTCATTTTACATGGATTTCAGAGGAATTTGAACTCCAGCCCTTATGCTGGTGTGGCAAGCACTTTAACTCTAGCCAATTCTCTAGTCCCTGCAGTACACTTTATACAGAATCATTTATATTTTTCTCATGGGAGATGTCCAGCACATGTGTATAGTAAAGTACTTTTAGGACCATCTGAAGCACGTGTGTATATTGTGTTTCTATGCTACCTCCAAAATGCTGGGATTGCAGATGTGTGCTACACAATGGGATCACCAGTCTGTGCTACCATGCCTGACTTTACGCAGTTATAAATTGGACTAAGGGACCCATGCGTGCTAAGCCACTAAGCCAAAATATTTGTTTACTACTTTATCCAAAGAATAGAAAAGTATCAACTCCCTTCAGTGTGATAACTGTCAAAAAAAAAAAAAAAAGCCTGACAATGGTTCCAAATTCCAGAAGAGCCTGCTCAAGGACAAGCCCTAGAGGAACTGCTCAGATACCTAGAGAGCAGGTGACTTAGCTTTGGAAGAGTCACCAGGTCTACCCTCCCTCATAGCCCATATACCACCTCAGTCCCCTGCAAATCATAACCTGTTTAGTATAGAGATGCGGTTCCAATAGGGACCTGGGAAGAGAGTAGTGGGCCCACTGGGCCCCAACAAGGGAGCCAAACCTCCCCCTTCAATTGTCAACCATCCTAGAACTGACAGTGGTAGATAGATATGCAAGAGCATTTGAGAGTCAATAGGGGCAGTGTTAGCAGACCAATAAGTGGTGGCATTGGTGAAGGGCTAAGAGGCTGTGCCTATGGCTGTGCCTGTATGTAGCCCAAGCCAGTGTGAGAACAGACACTCCTTCCTCGCACAAGGATAATCAGGAGTTTTGGTCTGACCTTTGAGCATCAGCGTGAAGATGAGGAGCCCGGGTGAAAAACACAGACTATAGCT